TGTCGTGTTGGGTCTAGGCTCTCTCCTCCATAAAGCTCATAAGCACGGCATGTCCATGCAACTCGGGTTAACCCCTTTAAAACCAACTTTTATTATGCATATACCTGCCTGCTCCTCATCCTGCTCCCAACGCTCCTCCTCCTCCTCCTCCTCCTCGTCCTTTAACGCCAACTCCTCCTCCCTCGCTCCTCCCTCCCCGTTAATCGCGTTCCTCCTCACACTGGCCGATCCTTCTTCTCCTGCCTTTCCCACCTCCCTCCCTCCTCCCTGTGGTCCCCCTCTATCACTCGGGGAAGGCCAAGAGGGGGGCGTCCCAGAGGGGGGGCGAAAATCATGGCCGGCGGCACGTGCGCGGCCCAGAAGAGGGGGCCAGGGACGCAACGAGATAAGAAGAGGCGCCATTAGATCTGGGGAGACACGATCCCCCCCCCTAGTCACCCCCCCCTCTTGGCCGCCCCCGACTCCCTCCCCGTGGAGCGATTCTTCGAGGCATGGGCTCTTGGAGCCGTCGACTAGGTCGGGGGGCCGGAGCTCGTCGTCCTGGATCGGACACTTGGACGGCCCCGGGCCCCTGCAGAGAGTCAAGAGTTCCTTGATAAGCGCGGGGGGGTACCCCCCGACGGCGGTCAATCTCGCCCCGTCGTCGCGCCGCGACGGCCTCCGGCGCGCGGCGGCTGCTCTCGGCGGGGATGCGACGCCCCCCCGACGCTCATCGAGAAACTCGGAGTGCAGATCCACCGCCGCAGTCCTGACCAATCCTGGGTCCAGGAATGGTCTAGATTTTTATATATATATATATACACACACATTCCTCTTCTTATGTTTTTACAAGCCTGGGGGGGTGGGGAAACCATCCCCCCCCCCCCCTAAAACTGGATCCCCGGGATCTGGGGTTCTCGGGCTCCCTTGGACGTCCTTGGAAAAGGTCACCCGGCATTCCGGGTCTCCACAAACGTCTGGCCAGCAGACCCAGAGCGATCAGAGGGGTCATCAGAAAGGCTCAAGGGAGGCCCCTGGCCCAGGCAGCACAAGAGCGCTCCAAGAGGGACTCCAATTGCTTCAGGACGGCCCAAAAGACCCCCAAGGCACCCCAAAAAGCTTTCCAAGGGGGCCTTCAAAACACAAAAATCGTCGCATTCCCTTCGAAAAAAACTTACAAGTTTTAGCACATTCGTCTTTCGGGCTCAATCAGCTGTCAAGACGGCTTCAAAGCCCCCGAGATTGCCTCAAGACGCCCCAAAAGGCCCCCAAGAAAGCTTCAAGACGGCCGAGCCGGGCCCCACGATCGCCCACGAGAGCCCCAAGACAGCCCATAATGGACCCAAGAGGCCCCCCAAGGGCTCCCAGCACAAGCCCAAAAGGGCCATGGGAGGTCCCCGGAACTGCCCCAGATGGGTCCAAAGGGGGCTCCAGCGGGCCCAGGCTCCCCAAGACGGCCCAAGAAGGCCCCAGGACGGCCCATGAAGGCGCCAAAACGGCCCACGAGGGCCCCGAAAACACCCCCACGATGTTTCCGAATGCCAACATTCATTGATTTTGCTCCCATGACATTCCACATTGTGACCCAGTCGTTGAGGGTCTCGTGGTATGTAGCGAAGATGCCCGAGGATGCCCCAAACAACTTTCACAAGAGGATCGTGAGGCCTCCAGAGGTCCAAAGATGTCCAATATTGCCCCAAATAGCTCGTCGACTGCTGCAATATCGTCGTCGTCGTCGCCGTCGCTGCCGCCGTCGTCGTCGTCGTCGTCGTCGTCGTCGTCGTCGTCCTCGTGACCGGGAGGGGCGCCCCGGGAGGTCTCCAGCCGTCCACACGTCGTCGTCGTCGTCGTCGTCGTCGTCGTCGTTCGTTGTCGTAATCGTCGTCGTTATCAAGGTCGTTCCCTTTTTGGCCAGCCCGCCGGGTTTGCTCGACCCGGCCCGGCCGGCAACTCAGGAGGAGGATGAGGAGGAGAGGGCGAGGAAGAGGATGTGGACCAGGAGAACGCGAATAAGAAAATGAAGAAACAGGAGGAGGGAATTATACGCAAGGGGAGTACGGAGGACGAGTGGCGAATATCACACAGACAGAAAACGAGGAGGGGGAGGAGGAAGAGGGAATAGTGAAATCCGCTTCGCCCGGGTATGCTCACAACTCCCACCTTGGAAACGTTTTGCCTCGCAGTGGTCCCGCCGTTTTTGCCTGAGACATCCTCGCAACTCTGGAGTCCGAGACTCCCTGGCCTGAGGTGTTCAGGCCAATTTCGCCTGAGACAGTCTCGCAAGTCTGACTTCGGAGGTGCCCTGCACCATCGTGGTTAGCCGACTTTCGCCTGCGACGTCTCCTCTGGCCCTGAGCTGAGGTGTTCAGACCACTCTTCGCTTGAGACTTCCTCGCAAGGCTGACTTCGGAGATGCCCCGCCCCATAGTGCTCGGGCCAATTGCGCGTAAGACATCCTCGCAACTCTGACCTCGGAGGTGCCCTACCCCAAGGTGGTCCGGCCACTTCCGCATGCGACACCCTCGCAACTCTGCGTCCGGGGATGTCCTAAGCTGCGGTGTTCCGGTCACTTTCGCCAGAGCCATCCTCGCAACTTTCGGTACCGAGGTGCCCTGAGCTGAGGAAATCAGACCACTGTGGCCTGAGACCTCCTCCGAACTCTGACCCCGGAGAAGCCCTGCCCCAAGGTGGTCCAGCCACTTCCGCTTTGAGACTTTCTCGCAACTCTACGTTCCAGGGCTCCTTGAGCTGAGGTGTTCGGGCCACTTTCGCTAGAAACGTTCTCGCCGCTCTGGGTTCCGAAATGCTCTGCCCCATGGTATTCCGCCACTTTCGCTTGAGACATCCTCGCGTCACTGAGTTCCGGTCTGTCCTGAGCTGAGGTGTTCAGGCCGTTTTCGCTTGAGACATCCTCGCAACTCTGAGTTCCCGTATGTCCTGAGCGGAAGTGTCCAGGCCATTTTCGCTTGAGGCATCCTCGCACACTGACCTCGGCGATGCATTGGCCCATTGTACTCTGGCCATTTTCGCCTGAGACCCTCGCACCTTTCAGTTGCGAGATGCCCTGAGCAACTGGTCAGGCCACTACCGCCTGAGATACGCATGTATATGCGAACCCATAGTTATATACATTTGTATCTATATATATATATATATACATACATATGGGCGTGCACCGACAAAGCACGTACGAATTGCATATCCATGTTCAGACCCTTACACACATACATGTATATGTACGCATGTACGCTGTATACACACAACACTGTAAGTATAGTGTAACACCTATATATACGCACACGGAACGTGCATGCGCGTGCGCGTGTATACATGCATGCGCGCATTTACGCACGCACGCATTCCGCTTGCGTGCGGACGGACCTCAACGGACCAAGGTGCATGGCGCGCAGCGCCAATGAAGTCTTGTGTATATATACATGTCTATATATACTTATGTGTACCTATCTTCATATATGTATATACATATATTTTAATATATATATATATAAAAATATGTATATAAATGCATTCCTGGCCAAGACAGGAAGGCGTATGCACCGCCCCTGGCCCGGGACGGGCCAGGCCTGAGCAGTGGAATCATGCGTATCCCGGCGCCCTACCCCAACGCGGTGACGCAGCACGCGCGCGGCGGCGCAGCTGGGCGGCTCGCGACCTGGAAAGCCCTCGCCCCCACGAGCCTGCCTCGGGCCCCCCACCGAGTGCTGAGGCCCGGGAGTTCCGACCCCGAGACCGACAACGGGGCCGCGCCCAAGCCGGAGCCCGAGCTCGACGGTTCGGCCAGAGCCGGAGTACACTCGGCCCGTATCACAAGGATGCGCGATGAGGATGCAGGGGCATTCGACGCCCATGTGGAAGCTTTTCGAGCGGGGTGCGGCCAACGAAAGTGGCCAAGGATGGGCCGAAGGGGCAAGGATGCAAGGGTGCCCTTAGGAAGGTTGCCCATCGTTACCATGCGGCTCGACTGTAACACTCAAAGCCGTCAGGATGGTGATGATATAGTACGCGCGGCTCCCAGAAAAGAGGCCAAGTGATGCCAATGACGCCCAGGGCGAGGCCGCCGCCAAAGACGCCGAGGAAGCCATGAGCAGAGGGATGCAAGCAATTGTCCGCTGCTGATTCTTAAAACAACAGAGCTGACTGCTCAACGCGAAGGGGATTGCTAACTAGTTGAAGTCGACTCTCAAAAATCATTGAGTGAGCAGGGGCTTCGTTGGGGGGCAGGCCTTGGGGATTCGGTAATCATGGAAGACAGCACGAACCGTGAAGAAAGGAAGCCCCAGTCGCCATAGACTTGCAATCGCCTCAGATGCACTGCAAAGAAAAGAACCAATGGCCAGAATATCAAACAGTACCGCTACATGTAGAAACGCCGGGGCATCGCCACACAGCCCCGTAAGCTTTTCTCAAGCGTAAATAACACCGCACCTGGGACGCATGTTCCACACCCACGGGCAAGGGAAGACAACCTCAATTGAATCCACAACAAACAAAGAAGACCCCAAACCTGCGACGTCGTGATTCTCCGATCCCAGAACCCAAAGGCTCCAGAAACCGTTCCTTGGGAAGCGCGTTTGCGTCCCATGTAGTGTGTTCACGACTCATGAGCACGACAACGGCGAACGGACCCAAATAATGAACTTGAAAGATCCACGAACATAGTGAAAGAACCTTAACATCTAGAACAAGTGCCTCCAAGACGGCCGAGATGGCCTTGGGTGGCCTTCAGGACGGTCCCAAGGCGCCTCCAAGACGGCAAAGGTAGCCCAAATATGGCCTAAGATGCCCTCCAGATGAGATGGCCCAAGAGGCCCCCAAGACGCCCCAAGAGGGCTCAAAGAGGACATGCAAGCCAAACTCATTGAGATCCCGCAGGTGTTTCAATGATTTTAGGTCGGGCATGTCCCCCTACAGGCGGATTCTGGAGGACAAAATAGCCAAACACATACTCAAAACAATTGTTTTTTGTATACAAAAAAACAAAAACTGGAGCATCGTTCCATGACCTTTTACTTCTCTTTCGTCTTCTTCTTTTTCATCGTCCCACGTCAGTGGCCACAAAGAATGCAATCGCGCCGAAATCTAAAACTGCACGCTTCTATTCCCGGCAAGGCCGCTCGACTTTGCAGGCGCCTTCACCGGTTGATCTACCTAGCCTCCTCTACGTGCTGATCACACCGACGTGATGGATCTACGAGTTCGCTGCGCATCAATCTCTCGCAAGCCAAAGCGGAACTAACCCTTTTCCGAATCTCGGGACGACCAAAGTCTAGAATCCGAGCCGAATCCGAAAACTAACCGAAACGACCTGGGAGGAGGAGCGCCTCAACTCCCGTGAGACGTCGCACTCCGCCCGTCTCGCCCTTCGCGCCGGCCCAAATGGCGGGGCGAAGGCGGTAAAATGAAGGGCCCCCTCATCGGCACGATACTGGAATGGTTGGACCTCCATGGACTCTTACCGACTCTTGCGTGCCGAACCGTCGTGGTAAATCACAACGCTGGATACGCTTTCGAACATGATGAACCCTGCGAGTGCCGTCTGTTGGGTTCCGATCGCCACCATTGCGACAAATCACTGCGTTGGGACATGCGCTTTCAAGCACGATGTGCCCTGAGCGTTGTGAATCAGCATCTCCACGTTGGTCCCGACTTCTTCTGCATCAAGGTTCAGTCCAAGGCCGATCAGACCTTTAGACGTGCACATAGTTTTCGTGAACCATGGTTCGGTTCCAGAGGACACGCCAGAGCCCGTGCAACTCTCACTCTCATACTCTGCGTAATCGGCAAGGCCAGGGTTGCAGGTCAAAGTGAAGCTCGAAGCACCGTCGGCCACGTCGCCATCGGCATTCGTGTACACGTAACAGTCATCAGATCCTGACACTTCCTTGACGTACTCGGTCTGCGCCAGAACTGAGCATGACGCATCTGTATAGGTTTCAAACGCGTACACTCCTGCTATCGCTGCAGACACCTCGAATCTACAAAGCGCTACTAGCAACATAACAGACACAGCATATGCCATCGTGAACAGACAGACAAGAGATCGATACTCTTATCGAATCTGCGTCTCGACTGGCACACGCTTCGAAAGCTTGAGCACACGTGTCTTCTACGGATGACCCTCTACGACGTTTAGACACTCCTCCCGTCGAGGGACACGCCCGACCTAATGCACGAAGCCAGGCTCGTTGAGGCCCCCCCAGACTTTGCACAAATTGGACGCCCGAGTTATCCGGGGTAACTCGGGTCCGGGATAACTCGGGTTTGGGTTCCCGAAAAACGAACCCGAGTTAGCCCTGACCCGAGTTACCCCTGATGATTCGGGGCCCTGGACGCCCGAGTTATCCGGGGTAACTCGGGTCCGGGGTAAGTCGGGTTCGGAATCCCGAAAAAGGAACCCGAGTTATCCCTGACCCGAGTTACCCCTCATGATTCGGGGCTCTGAACAAAGTCCGCACCCTCGCCGCCCACATCCCGCGCCACCTGCTCGACGCCTCGCCTGGCCGGTGCCAGACGACCCGAGGCAGGAACGGGAGGGCCCTCGGCCGAAGCCCGCACCGGGAGAGCACAAACGGAGTCTCGATGCGTGTTCAGTACAGGGAAAGTCCCCCATACAGGGGGATTTCCGACGTAGACTCAAACGTACCCCAAATATACCCCAAGAAGGTCAAAACGTAATCCCCCAAAAAGTCCCCAGACTATGCTTGGACTATTTTTCGACTATGGTTGGGTATCTTTTATGTTTCGTCGAAAATCCCCCTGTAGGGGGAACGCCCGACTTAAGCCAAGAGGGTGGTGTCCAAGAGGAGGGGGGGGGTGGCCGCAGAGCCGACCACAAGAAACCAACCCTGAGACCACAGGACGTCCATTGATTTTTGGTATGGAGACGTCGCGCCCCCCACAGCAAAGCCATCGAAACCAAAGAAACCCAGGGCACCCTGGACGCAAGCAGGGTGTTTCTCGGAACGGGCCCCCACTGTAAACATGAAGGTGGCACGTGCCCACTGTATGTTCAGTAGGCGGCGCGCCGAGGCGGGAAATGAAAAGGGGCGGGCCTTCCCAGAAAGCTCGGAAGTTCGCGGGCCTATCCCGCAGACACAAAAAAAACACTTCTCAGACGGTGACGAGGGCCTCTGAGCAGTCGCGCCGCCGTCTGAGGAGGCCCTCTCCTTCTCACTTCCCACCCTCGCTCACCGCCAAACGATGGAAGTCGGGGCAGGCATCCAGCGCGACTCCATGCAGTGAACGCCCACTGCTGGTAGGCGGCGCTCGCTGCGACTCTACCGCCCGCGCCGCAGACATATCCAGCCCAACGTGAGCCCCTCTGCCATATTCCTCCTCCTCCGGCTCTCCGCCTCCTCCTGGCTCCCTCTCACCTTCCTCTGCCTCGTCCCCCTCCCTCCTCCTCCCCTCTCCTCCTCATTCTCCTCCTCCTCCTGATCTTTACCCTTCGCCATCTCCTCCCCCTTCTCATCCTCCATCTCCTCCTCACCCATCCATCTTCCTCCTCCTCCTCTTCTTCACTATCCCTTCCTCCCCTTCTCCTCCTCCTCCTCTCCCCACCACCGACGCCGGCGACGACAGCAATGACGACGACAACAACAATCGGATGACCAAACATCCGCTCCAAACCAAACCCTGGACACCAGCCAAGATCCATCCTGGCAACTCTCTCGGGATGCGTCTGAAGTGGCGACGAGGTCCCCCAAAGCGCGCAGAACTTACGAAACGACGGAGACGTCGACCTCCGCCTCTGGACGTACGTATTCGGAGGTCTCTGGATGAAGCCAGACGCCACTGCGGGCCCCCCAGAAGTCTCAAGGGGCGTCGGGAGACCTCCCGAAAGTCTCGAGATGCCTCTCGAATCGACTCTCCTGATCCCCCCAAAACACTTGACAAGCAGATCGAACATCCTCCTCCTCGAGGGCGACCGAAGCGGGGGGGCCAGCTCCAGGGGGGGGTAACCAGCCTGGAACATATCCATATCCCCATGCTGGGCATCTCCTCATCACGATGCCAATCTTAGGGATTCCCTTGCTTTTCGAGGGCGAATCCCTAAGATTGTCATCGCCTTTTGGCGTGCCAATCTTAGGGATAGGGATACGCTCGAGGCTGGTAAGGAATGGCCCCCGCGGTCCAGGACCCGTGTTTCCCTCGGGGCACGGCTCCCCCCATGCTGAATTATCGGAAGAGCAGGATTCAATCAGTCGGGCCTGTTCCTCTACAGGAGAAGCATCCAAAAATAGTCAGAAACCAGTATGGGGATTTTGTCCAGGAAGCTTTTTTTGATTTTGGTTGGGGCGTATGGGGCGTATGTTTTGAGTATCCTTTCTTGTTCGCCAACAATCCGCCCGTAGGGGCACCTCGAGCCGGTATGGGCTGTACTTGCGCACAGATCGGCGGCAGGCCCCCGATGCGCCGCCGAAGCCTGCGCGCTCCCGGGCAGGGCGGGGTATTTTCTCGCCATGGCTCGGACGTCCATGCCGTGTGCTGTTTTCGTGTCCATCCCGTCAAGGATGCTCCTCGATGGTCCTCGCCGGAGGAAAAACGCACACGTCCGAGCGATGCCAAGTATTCGATTCGACGGTGGACAAGGGGCCCTTCAGTGAACAACCCTGTAGTGAAAAACTGCCCAGGGCCGAGACCGACGGACCTGGACCCGCGAGGAAATGACGGCCGCGATGCCCCCTCGCGAACCGAGAGCGGCCATTTCGCCAATCGACATGTCAGGGTAGGAGGTCTATCCACCTCCGAGGTATGCCCATGCGACTGGGGGTCGATGTTCCCCCCCCTTTGAGCCTCTTTCCTTATCCTCCGCCCGTCTCGTTGCCCTTGGCTGCTCGAATCCCATCCGCGTGCCGTTTTGGGGCGAGATTGATGCCATGGTGAGATTGGCTCAGGATGCGCTCCAAGATTCGCAAAGCATCTAGCGGCCCTCGCGTTTGCAATCCGTGATCAATCCTGGGAACAAGGAAGAAACGTGTCCTGACCATGACCTCCTCCTCTTATTTAGGCACGTCCCCCTACGGGCGGATTGTTGGCGAACAAGAAAGGATACTCAAAACATACGCCCCATACGCCCCAACCAAAATCAAAAAAAGCTTCCTGGACAAAATCCCCATACTGGTTTCTGACTATTTTTGGATGCTTCTCCTGTAGAGGAACAGGCCCGACTGATTGAATCCTGCTCTTCCGATAATTCAGCATGGGGGGGGCCGTGCCCCGAGGGAAACACGGGTCCTGGACCGCGGGGGCCATTCCTTACCAGCCTCGAGCGTATCCCTATCCCTAAGATTGACACGCCAAAAGGCGATGACAATCTTAGGGATTCGCCCTCAAAAAAGAAGAGAATCCCTAAGATTGGCATCGTGATGAGGAGGTGCCCAGCATAGGGATAGGGATATGTTCCAGGCTGGTAGTATTCTTCCAGGCCGAGGTCTTCATCCCGAGCCAGCTTCTCGGACAGCCCCGGGGCCGCCGAGGACCCCAGGACTGCTCCTTGAGACGGCGAAAACACCTCAGAGCCCGTCTCCCTCCGGACCCGCTTCCCAGGGCAAGGAATTGCCTCTCCCCTCAGCGCAAGGGCCCCTGACCCTTTGGCAGCGGCACAAAGTTACGAGGCCCAAGACACTAAAGATAGGACAAAGTTACGAGGCCCAGGACATTAGATATAGGGGGAGCATCTCGAAGTGCTATCCCTAACGCAAAAACGGGGACCTCGGAGAGGCCAGTCTTCTCAAGAACGACGCACATATCCGTAGCCGCGCCCTCGCGGTCTGCATTCCGGGGCGCGATCCCGCGGGAACGCGATCGCATGGATACGTTGCGCGCGGGGCATCCGCGAAAAGACGCTCAGCATCCGCGGGGTCGCGGCCCAGGGGCCCGTTCCGCGAGGCCGCGGATACTTATATTTATATATATATATAAGTATTTGTATGCACATATACATATATAGTCCACGATCTTCTTCGTGATACTAGGATTTGGGGTTCTTTTGTTCTCGATTCCCTTACTACGTACTCGAACCTCGGCGACGACGACGATTTGCGGCGCGCAGAGGAGGGTTGGGGGAGCGGGGGAAGCTTCTTGGAAGCAGGCTACTCATTCGAAAGCGCTGGCCTTCCACCTATAAGATACCCCGCGCCTTCTAAGAAGCAGGGGTGCTTCTAAGAAGCCTCTCCCCCTCCCCATACACCCTCTCAGCGCGTGGCCTTCACGACGGCGACTCAGGGGCGTCCAAGAGGGGGGCTTCCAAGGGGGGCGCAAATCATGGCCAGCGGCATGTGCGCGGCCCCGGGGAGAGGGGGCAGGGACGTACTGAAAAAAGGAGAGGCGCCACGACAACCGGGGAGATATCATGGCCCCCGGCATGATATCCACCCCCTCTGGTCACCCCCTCACGTTGCCCCTGGTTTTCGGGCTATAACTCACTTCTCCGGCGGCCTTCCGGGGCGACCCGGGCACCCCAAGCACCCTCTCGACGAGGCGCAGCCGCCGGAAGGCGTCCCGAGGCTGGCAGGCCGACGAAAACCGACGAACACGTCCGAAAACCTCGAGCCCCGACCCCCCCCCTGCTTCTGCTCTCTTTCGCTGCCCCTTCTGCTTGTCCTGTCGCTCCCGTTTCTGCGCTCCCTCCTGCCTGCTATTGTTTGTGCTCGGCCTTATGCTGCCGCTGCTGCTCCTGCTCCCGCTCCCGCTCACGCTTCTTTTCCTCCTCATCCTTCTCCTCCTTCCGTGCCTCCCCCCCCCCTGGTCGTCGCTCCCCTCTCTGCCGCCCCCGAGCGCCGACGGCGGCGCCGCCGCCCGGGCGCGGCGCCTCCGCGGCCGCCCCCGAGGAGAGCCCAGAGGAGGCCGGCCACGCCGCCCTGGCGGGGGGGCGCGCTGCCCGCGCGGGGAGCCCCGCCGCGGCGCTGTCCGCTGCCCGCGCGGGGAGCCCCGCCGCGCGGGGAGGAGGATGAGGAGGAGGAGGAGGAGGAGGAGGAGGAGGAGGAGGAGGAGGAGGAGGAGGTGAAGGAGAGAAGGAGGAGGAGGAGGAGGAGGAGGAGGAGGAGGAAGGGAGGAGGAGGAGGAGGAGGAGGAGGAGGAGAGGAGGAGGAGGAGGAAGGAGGGAG